GTTGGAAAATTATGGTAAGCTTTGCAATGGACAGTGGTGAATTTTGCAATGATTATTAGTGGTGACTTGTGATCTTTGCAGTGGTCACTGGTGAGATCCAGCATCATCTCACTGAAATATGTCATCTTACCATAAGATGTTATCTCACTGGAGTCAATTCCATATATATGTGTGTATGTATATATTACCATGTACTTCAATATTCAATTAGCAAAATTGTTGATCTAATATTCTAATAAATACCTAAATACACCTTGCGTCTCATAATTTTTTTTTACACTTAGCTTTCTTATTTTGAATGTTCTAAAAAAATTCATTTACGTGAATGAATATATGGCTTACATTACTTTTCTTTCATATAAGCATATTCTAACCCCACATTTTAATATTTCAATACTTTTCATCTACATTTTTTTCTTCATATATACTCTCTCTGTCCCTAAAAAAATATCAGAATTTGACTTTTTTAGTCAAACTGTGACACCTTTTGATCACGAATTATGGAAAAAGTATATTTAGATATAATGTGAATTTAGTAGAATTGGATTTATTTTAAAATTTAGTTTTGAAATATCAATTTTTATAATATTAAATTATTTTAAACTATATTTAATTCATGGTTAAAGGGTGCCACAGTTTGACCAAAAAGTCAAACTATGGCAATTTTTTAGGGACGGATGGAGCAATATTTTTTACTTTTATGACAACCAAGGCGTCAAATCCGTTACTTTTAATTTAGAATAAATTCCATGATTGATCCTTTATAACATGAAAATTTTCTTATTTAGCCATCTATTATCAAATATTATCTTGATAGTCCTTTTTTATAAGTATCTTTCTACAAATAGTCTTTTTTTAATCTTCCGTCATGTTGGTGTTAATTTGCGGGTTAAAACTGTAACTTCACAATGATCATATATCTTTTTTGTCATAAATAATTCCAAAAGCCGTTCTTGATGCGTCGTTTTTGAATTCTAATCGCTTTTTTGCTACAACAATAATATATAGATGTAGTCTTTCATCGGAATGCTGATCCACATTCATAAACATTATTGTTGTGTTTTCCATTTAACCGATATGGGAACACCTCACTAGACATAATGTTGATGTCAAATTATATTTTTAGCTTCAAATTAACACGAACATTACAAAAAGTCAAAACAAGGACTATGTGTGGAAAAATATCCATAAAAGAAAGATCACAAGAGTAGTACTCCGTATTTGATAAAGGATTTTTCTTGGATAGAAGTAAAAAGTATGGAAATGCCAAAATAAGAGTCATATGTCTTTTAAGACCAAAATAAGAGTATAATGACAATATAGTGTAAGAGTATGCGTTGACAATGTGATGAAAAAGTGATGACAATGTAATTTTTCAGGGTGATCCGTCAACCATCGGCGATCCGCGACGACGAAGGATGGCACTGTGACGGTGGTTATGTAGCAGTTATAATGTGACAATGTGATGAGTGTAACAATGTAACAATAACAGTGTGAACTCCTATTTTAGTCTTAAAACTTTTATGACTTATTTCTAGGGAGTTTTTCCTAAAACTAAATATAGAAAACTCCATGGACCAATCATAAGATTTATTCTTTAGTTTAATTTAAGACCGTCAAATCCATTCAAAGATGATAGACCATTCCGGGAGAGAGTAGAGAAGCGAGGCCATCCAGTCGATTCCATCTGCAGAAGCAAATGGAGAGTGCTCTTCTATCGGCCTCACCAACTCTCCCTCTACGTCTACGGAGTAAGCATTTCCATTTCAATCGTTCTACTTTTTCCTTTGTCAGATATATATATATATAAATATCGCATCACTAATCAAGACTGGATATTTCATGGGTTTCTTGAAAAATACTTATGTCCCAGTTTTGGAGTCGAGACTGAGTTCAAAAGCACACCAAAGATTGCACCTTTTTAAATTTTAAAAAATGGGAATTGATCTTAGTACTTTTCTTAATAAGCAGCCAAAGATGTTCTTGCAGTTTCAATGAAATGTCAGAGCTCATTATATTGTAGCAAAGGTACATACAATGGTATGACTGTGAGGAAAAATGTAAGCTCAGCTGGCAAAAGAAGCCCTTCTTCAGTCAATTCGATGGTACATTTTCTTTTTAGATAATTATCACTATTTTTACTTCTTATTACTCCTTCGTTTTCGCTCTTCTTGTAGTTTGATTTAATTATGTCGCCTGTTTGGTATGCAATCCAGGCCCTTCCCTTTTGGCAGTTCAGAAGGAAAACAAAGAGAGAGACCATTGTTCCCGACCCCGATTATCGTATCCCTATTGTGCTTCTAGGTTTGCATTGAAGACAGTTCATTTGTATTCAAAGGCTAAAATAATCCCAAGAGGATAGAATTTTTTTGAGTTTCCTTTTTTCCTTTGTTAATGTTGCAAAATTCTTGGCTCAATGTGTCAGACCCATTATAACAATCTGATATTCACCTGATTTTTCCTCTTTTTAAATCTGAGCAGGCACGGCTGGTGTTCTGATTTATACAGATAATCTACTAGCAGCAGCTCCTACCGGTCTTCTCGGGTTACTCTTGTTATTCCAGGTAACCAAAGTTTTGTATTATGAAATGGTTAGAAATTGCAGAGGCTGAAGGTTTGACTTGGTTTCTTGGGACCTTAGCCATGTTCCTTTTTCTACTTTGCTTTCCTTACTTCAGAAAAGATGAAAGTGGTTTTTCTCTCTGCAGACTACAAGAGTGAGATTTGTCTTTGACGATGAGGCTCTGGTGTGTCTCCTTAACTCTTTAACACTGAGGTCACTTTAGTAAAACAAACAACTAAGGTTGTGTTTGGTAGGACTGTAGGAGATGAGAGAGGGGCAGTCCTTCCCTCAGTTGGTTCAATACATTCTTTGTGTAGTGGAGCCCAAACATTTTGTTAGAATAAAGTCCCAACGCTAGAGGAGGGTGAATAGCATTTGAAACAAATCGTGGAAATTTAAAAATAAAGTAAACGAAAAGTAAAGAGCGTAAAGAAAGGCATACCAAGATTTATACTGGTTCACCACAACATGTGGCTAATCCAGTCCAACGAGAGACTCTCTCGAAGGTCCTACTAACTCCGCTAAACTTACGGGATCTTAACAAACCGGTACAACTTGAGAACTCGAGTCATACGAGCCTTAACGATGTTTGCTCGGAGATACAACACTCCAAGACTTCAAACCGAAGGAATATACTCTTCCTTCGTACCACCAAGGGAACAAGACACCCTTTAAGTGTGTACAACACTTAGACACTCAAGAACAAAACTCTCCTCAAGAGTAGATTATGAGTAAACTAAAGAACGCTCAAGAACACAATAAAATCTTCACGAAATGGCTCTCAAAAGCTATGGAAAATGTGTTTAAACAATGCAATGAAAGAGTAATGAAATTGTGAAGAACTGTGTATTGCAAGTAGACCCCTTTTTATACCCAAAAAATTAGCATCGTTGAAGTTCGTGTGACTTGAGTTCTCAAGTTGTACCGGTTTGTTTAGCACTCGTAACCTTAACGGAGTTAGTAGGACCTTAGAGAGAGTCTCTCGTCAGACTGGATTAGCCACACGTTGTGGTGAACCAGTATAAATCTCGGCGTGCCTTTCTTTACACTCATTATTTTTCGTTTACTTTATTTTTAAATTCCTGCTATTTGTTTCAAACGCTATTCACCCCCCTCTAGCTTTGGGATTTTATCCTAACAATTGGTATCAGAGCCAAGGCCACGAGTTTGATTCCCAGCAAGAACAATTGCTGAGGGGGGAGATTGTTGGTCATATGTTCATCAATTGTCCTGTGGCAGAGGCTATGTGGGCCAAATCACAATTGAATGTCGTGGGCGCTTTTGTGCTGAATGCACTATAAGGCTAGGGTATGCTCATCTTCTAACACCAATTGGTTTTAGAAGAGTTGGTAACGCTTGAGGTCCTACACATTTGCCTACCCCCATTTTTTATTGGCTCCCCCACCGACAAAATGTTTTGAACGAAATGAAAGGAAGGCATCATTTCCCTCCCCTCCAACCAAACACGCTTTAAAACTTGCTAAAACTCAACTTGAAGTTACTATTATTTAAACTATTGCATTGATGCTATATCGTTCACCGGTGTACTTACTATACAGTATATGGTCACAGGAGGTTAAAGTAGGGGCGCGGCTAGAGGAGTCTGGCGAAAATGTGTTTGTTAGTGGAAAAAACCGGTGGAAGTAAGTACAACTGCAGTGACATTCTTATAGATTTTGATGCCAAGAACTAAAAATTAGTCTTTTTAAACAGATACTCGACGTTTGTGAATTGGGAGATGTGGTGGCCAAACTTCCCCATTTTAGTTTATTTCAAAGAGACACAGACGAAGCCCGAAGGCCAAGTGCACTTTTTCCCTGTAATATTTGTAAGTGTTATAGTCAGAAGGCTATCCTGTTCTATTACAAGTGCCTGATGGCCAACTTTCAGCACCTTGATTGTGGACTAAACTATATAATCACCTTTTTTTATTTATTAAAATTCACAATAGAATGGGAAGCAATTGTATGATGCTATGGTTGAAAGATGCGGCTCTTCGAAAACTAGCAGTCCTGAATAGCCCTGAAGATGTGCAAAGATCACATTCATATGCTTGGAGAAATCATTTCTTTTCATACCTTATTGTTCTACTCTTCTGCCAACAAGCTTTGCAGTCAAAGAATTCCATTTCATAATGTGCAACTTATTGGCATTTCTGTTTCCCTGTTAAACATGGTCAATTAACTGTGTATTGAGTTCAAATATAGAGATAAAACCATTTATAGAGCTCAAATAAGTGTGTATTGAGTATTTATTGCTTACAAATTGTAGAGCTCAAATCAGATCCATTTAATATCAAATGGGATGCTCACCGATATACGCATGAAAATGCTATTAGCAAATTTCAATTTCACTAGCTGGTGAGTTACACAAAAACTAATGCATAAAGAGAACTCAATCATATCATCCCTGTGAAGCACTCAATTTAACATAAGAATCCACTGCTTGATATTTAATGTGAAATAAGGAATAGTGCACATGCTCACACTCCAAGATCATAAAGCTCAAAGGCAATTCTATTAATCTAATTTTTATCTCCTTTTTCTTTTTAAATCAATTCAAGGTCATCACGAAGCTGTGGCGTGAAGTAGTTATGTCCCTGCTCTGATTCAAAGCAATTCTCTTGGTGTCAAAATCAGTATTAACAAAACACCTGCAGTGTTTGCGAAATCACCAGCTCCTCTGATCGTTCTTCTAACCACGTCTCACCATGAAAATGTTGTTTGGCTACATCAAAATTTCTAATGGAAAGAAATATATAGAACGGAATCCGTTGCATCAATCTGTTTTTGTGCAGTGGGCATCGGTTCCGTGCTTGATGCAATGGTGGTATCCCACAGTGCGAAGAAAATCTCTAATCTCCTTGGCACTGGTATTGCTTGCTTGCAACAGGCGTTCATCTTCCTCATAGATAAGGTATGGGGCCTCACCTTTCTTTCTTGAGAGTAACTTTGAAGCACCCTTGAGAACATGATACTCCCATCCCTGAACATCTATTTTGAGAAGCAGCACCAACTCCGACTCCATAATCATATCATCAAGAGGAATGGTCTTCACTTCAACAGCAATCTCTTCGTTTGACTTGAATGCCAACTTTGCACCAGTGGCTGAGACCGCACTATTATCAAGCCGGCCAACCAACTGTTATGTCAGAGTAAATCATCAGTGTAATGAGTTGAATCACCCATCATCAATGTTATAAATCAGAGAGTAATTGAAATGCTAAAAGCGCCATATAAAGTAACAAGTACACTAGTACAGTTCTAAATATTTAAAAATAGCAAATGTTTTCTGTTAAGGTCTGACGTCAACAACAACAGATGTTTAGTGTTTAGTGTTTAGTGTGTTATTTTGATTTAGTCCATTATTCACCCGAAGCTAAAACATTGTCAAATACGACGGTTTTAGCTCCATTGGCAATGGTCTAGAGATGTCAAATTGCTAAATGTATCTAGATTCTAGACAAATCTAGACAGCAATATTGTAAAAAAAAATGTAAGGCTTTGTCCAAATGGAAGACTGAAGTCTAGGCATAAATCAAATTAAGGAGCACAAAAACGATGGTAAAAGGCACAAAGAGTTATGATTTGCCGAGTAGACTGATTTATAACTGAATAACTAAACCTTCAAGTGAAATAGTTTCATGATTAAATCCAATAAATACATGGGAAGGGGAAGGGGAAGGGGTATATAAAGGATTACATTTGGGTTTTAAAATGAGAGTTAAAATGGGTTTAGAGAGCAACAAGGTTAATGTATCTCGGCTCCAAAGGCTTATTGGAATTTTTCGTTTTATGTTGTTTAAAAGCGGTTTTCAGATGTTTCTACCATTGCTGTAAGCAAAGAACTGCTATACACCAATACTCCAGATGAGTGAAAATAAATTCATTAGCAATCATAACCACTACCACAAGGATTCAATTTATTGAATGCCTAACTCCATATAAGGCAAAGCTTTTCTTGACTGTTACTTAAAATACCTCAGAGTGATACTAGGTTTTAACCACATTAATGATTAACCCCTCATAATTGACTAGTCTAGTTTTCCTTAAAACATCCTCCGGTTCACAACTTCTCCTCCAATCAGTCTTCACAAACTTAGGGCTGAATGCACAGCACATGAGAACAGCACTACAAACTAACCAGTTGCTCCACAAGCAACATAACTGCTGCTTTTTATAGAGTATCCATTTGGCATTAGTCTTTAGCTTTAATGTTTTAATAGTTAATTTGTGCGGTTAAAACACTATCCAAAATGCTAATGTTAATTACATATGATGTTCTCCAACATGCCAAAAGGAACATTGAGAATACCTTGTGAAATGTAATGTTTCCCAATCGATCAGAAGCTGCGGCTTCAAAGACTTCCACCAACTCCCCAACTCGGTTGAAGTAAATCCCTTCGCAAATCTTCTGCAAGTTCTCAAAAACAGGCTCGAAGGCAAGAACCTTAAACCCCATAACCGCCGCTGCAAATGTGGCCATTCCTACATTAGCCCCCACGTCCACGAAAATCCCACTCTTGCCCTCCCCCTTCATTTTCTCCAACAATCTCTGCACAGTCTCAGATATATCAGGCTTCCTGAATGGCTTCCCCTTGAGAGTCCTATTTATATTCTTGTGTGGCTTTTCTGGTAAACTCCCGAAGTCTGACAGGGAGAAGAGAAATGGGTATTTGAGACCTTCCACTAGATTCGCAATAACAGGGTGGGCTTGAGGTGAAGAATAGCAATTGAACGGCTTTAGAGAGCGCTCAAAGATTGGGGTTTTGGCAGATTTGGCGGTTCTCGGAGACTGGTTTTGGGTTTGGGAGGCAAGATAGAGGAAGATAAGGAGGAGGAGAGAAGTGCAGAGGAAGAGTAGAAGATTCTTGCGGCCGAAAATTTTAGTGGATTGTTGTCTTCTCGAACCATTTGCCATGGAAAACTAAGAAAATTTCTTGGACTTTTTAAGAGAAATCTTTTGTTTCTGGCGCTTATTCCACTGCAAAAATGGTGGGGGATCTGCAAGATTGGATCTCGATTCTGGTTCGGTGGTGAATGGTGTGATATACTCCAAAGTCCAAAGTCTGGAGTCTCTATTTGAAAAGTGAAAACTCTATGCGTCCGTCGTTCTGCGGCTCGGATTCTGAGTTTCTCTCTCTCAATGTACGATGTTTAAATTCTTTTCTCACAATTTTTTTCAGAAGCATGTACACCAAAATTTGTATCTCATTTTTACATCAAAAATATGCATCAATATTTGATGGTTTATATTGACAAAAAAAATTTGGTGCGTTAACAAAAATTTACACTGACACAAAATATTGGTGCGTTAACAAACATTAATATTCCACTAACACAAAATGTTAGTGCATCTCTACGGTGTACAAAATGAAGTACAAATCCTTGGGGTACAAATAACATTACCCTTTTTATTTATTCAATTTTAAAAAGTAGAAGTGCTTCTCTAAATAATGAACAAATAATTATTTAAGTTATACTCCGGTAGTCTGGTATAAAGGTACACTATGGACCTTATAATAAGAAAATGAAGAGAAAGAAAATTATAAAAAAGAAAACATATTTATTTTAATTGAATCATAATTCAATTATAACTTTATGGTGTGTTTTGGAGCGTTACACCACAGGTAGTGGCTCTAAGTTCTAAAATGAGATTATGAATAATGATGAGGTAGCCCTAGCCTAAAATAGATTCTGAGCAAGTGTTAGGAATGAGCTATTGTAAGAACATGAATGTTGAATTGATAACAGATGCAAGCAAAGAGTCAAGATAAGTAACATGGAGTGTGATTTGAATGATATTGTTGATATTATAAACGGCGAGGTGACAGTTGCTTTAGGAAATCTTGGTTTGTTGTGTTCATTCTTCTTCTTTCACTGTAACTGCGCTGGAATCAACAAGAGGGAGAGGATCGAATGAGAGAGGGAGATCGTGAAACTGGAGAGAGGGACTTGAGTTTGAGAAAGAGCTACGCGTGGCTAGGTATGCTACCACATGCGGATAATTGTAAGCTTAGGATTTCACTCCATAATTAATTATCGTACCTGGATAAAAATATACTTTTTGGGCCGACTTGTTCTAAGTTCAGATCTGATTGCATCGTTGGATTCGTATTGTTCAGCTCTACACAACGATATAATTTTATAATCAATTATCAAATGTTTATAATTAACTTTGGATTTGTCTCAATAAATAAATAATTATTTCTAATTAATTAATTCTGATAAGCTGATTTTTGGACATTTCATATTTAATACTTTTATTTGCTTGATTGGTTTTGGACTGAAAATTCAAACTGAAAACGAACCATAAGGATTCCATTTGGTTTTTTTCTCTTAGATTTTATTTTATCTACCGATTTCTATCTTGGTTTTCCCAAGCTACTCTTATAGACTTCATCACCATTTGCTAAGGTAAAGAACATTTGTTTGGTCCGTGGCCTTTTACCGTTCAAAAGCTGGCGAGACTCTATAAGAAACCACAATTGGCATTCAAATTTGAAACTCCCTTAAAATTCTCCACTGCTTCTTTACCAAACTTGATTGGCTCTGCTCAATGCATACAGCGACCCATGAATCATGGGCCTCGGTGCTTTTTCGGCCACCCTAACCCGGAAATCTCCGTCTTCTTCCAGAAAGGCTTCTCAGAGATTATCGACTGCATCACCGGAAGAGCAGTGCATGCAATATGCATTAAAGAATCCCATTTTGACATTTTCCACAGTAATACTTTGATAAGAATGTACTCGAAGTTTGGGAGAGTTGAATGTGCCCGTTATGTGTTCGACCAGATGCCCCAGAGAAATGGAGCTTCTTGGAATAACATTATCTCTGGGTACGTTCTTACCTGCCGGTACTATGATGCAGTCAGAGTATTCATTGAGATGTGGGGTATAGGGATTGAGGTAAACGAGTATACCTTTGCTAGTGTATTGACTGCATTGAGCAGGTCCGAGAGTATGTGTCTTGAAGGATATCAAGTTCATGGTTTACTCTTGAAGTACGGTTTCTTATGCAATATTTTTGTGGGAACTTCGCTGTTGCATTTTTATGGTGCCTATGGCCTTACTTCTGATGCTAGAATCTTTTTTGAGGAAATGCCTGAAAAGAATGTAGTTTCCTGGACTTCCTTGATGGTTACATGCTCCAATAATGGAAATTCCGAGGAAGCTATAAGTTTATTCAAAAGATTGAGGTGTGGAGGGATTGTTTGTAACCAGAACACCTTTACTGCAGTGATCAGTTCATGTAGTTCTCTTGAAGCAGTTTTTGTGGGTCTTCAAGTGCTAGGTCATGTTGTAAAATCAGGGTTTGAAGATAATGTTTCTGTGGGGAACGCTCTAATCTCGATGTTTGGCAATTTTAATTTTGTAGAAGAGGCCTCTCGTGTTTTTGAAGGCATGATTGAACGTGACACTATATCCTGGAATTCAATGATAACTGTTCAGGCACATAATCTACTTTGCGAGGAAGCATTTAGGTGTTTCTATTTTATGCGTCGTGAACACAATGATATAGATTCAACTACGCTCTCTTCCATGTTGTCAGCTTGTGGTTCTTTAGAATATATAAATCAGGGTAGAGGAATGCATGGGTTTGTGATCAAATTGGGATTCAACTCAAATATGTGTGTTTCTAACACACTTCTTTCAATGTATGCTGATTCTTTCAGATGCTCAGATGCTGAAAATATTTTCCGCAACATGCCAGATAAAGATTTGATTTCTTGGAATTCCATGATGGCTGCGTATGTTTTGGTAGGTAACTACTTCCAGGCCTTAAAATTGTTGACTGAAATGCTTCGCATGGGAATGTCAGTAAGCTATGTTACTTTTGCTAGTGCATTGGCTGCTTGTTCAGATGCTGAGCATCTATCTGAAGGGAACATATTGCATGGACTTATTTTGACATCTGGGCTTCACGGGGATTTGATAGTTGGCAATGCATTAGTTACCATGTATGGGAAGCACAGCATGATGGTAGATGCTGAAAAGGTGTTTATAAATATGCCAAAAAAAGAGTTAGTTACTTGGAATGCATTAATTGGCGGCTATGCGTCTCATTATGAAACAGATGGTGTAGTAAGAACTTTTAAACTGATGAGGGAGAGCAGTGAACCATCGAACTACATTACAATTATAAATGCACTTGGTTCCTGCTCGTCTCCATTTGACCTTGTGAATACTGGAATGCCGATGCATGGACATATAATTCTAACTGGTTTTGAGGCAGATGAGTATGTGCGGAACTCACTCATAGCAATGTATGCTGAGTGTGGGGATCTCAAGTCAAGTAACTATATTTTTAATGATGCAGTTTACAAGTCTTTTGTGACATGGAATGTCATGGTTTCTGCAAATGCTCACCATGGCAACTGGGAAGAGGCATTGAAGCTTTTTCGCAATATGCAGAGGGCTAAAGTAGAGTTAGATCAGTTTAGCCTTTCTTCTGCCCTTTCAGCTGCAGCAAACTTGGGAAGTCTGGAGGAAGGCCAACTGCTTCACTGCTTGGCCACTAAACTTGGTTTTGACTCATACCATTACATTGTAAATGCTACAATGGATATGTATGGAAAATGTGGCGAACTTGAATATGTGCTTAAAATGCTTCCAGAACCAAATACCCGATCACGCTTGTCTTGGAATATAATGATGTCTACGTTTTCCAGACATGGTCTTTTTCGTGAAGCTAGGGAAGCCTTCCATGAAATGCTTAAGTATGGTCAAAAGCCTGATAATGTCACTTTTGTCTCTCTTCTGTCTGCATGTAGTCATGGTGGTTTAGTGGATGAGGGTCTCGCACATTTTGCTTCAATGACCACTGATTTTGGGGTCCCAGTTGCTATAGAGCACTGTGTGTGCATTGTTGATATGCTTGGAAGATCAGGAAGACTTGCTGAAGCAGAAGCATTCATCAAAGAAATGGTAGTGCCTCCAAATGACTTTGTTTGGCGGAGTTTGTTGGCAGCATGCAGAATGCATGGGCATGCTGAGCTGGCAAAGAAAGCTACTGACTATCTTCTCGCATCTAATCCAATGGATGACTCAGCTCATGTTCTTTATTCAAATGTCTGTGCTACTTCTGGGAAGTGGCAAGATGTCCAAAATGTTAGGGCTAAGATGGAATTAAGCAACATCAAGAAGCAGCCGTCTTGCAGTTGGGTTAAAATGAGGGACAAAATTTACACTTTTGGTATCGGAGATGGAACCCACTCATTATCTGAACAGATATATGACAAACTGGGGGAGTTAAGGATAAAACTTAAAGAAGCTGGATATGTCCCTGATACAAGCTTTGCTTTGCATGACACAGATGAGGAACAGAAGGAGCAAAATCTCTGGCGCCACAGCGAGAAACTTGCACTAGCATATGCTTTGATTACTACTGCAGAAGGTTCAAAGCTTCGGATTTTCAAGAATCTACGGGTCTGCGGTGATTGTCATTCTGTCTACAAACTTGTAAGCAATATAGTCAGGAGAGAAATTGTATTGAAGGATCCTTATCGGTTTCACCATTTTAGTGGTGGCAAGTGCTCTTGTGGCGATTATTGGTAACCTTATCTACCATTTTTTGGTGACCTGCCAAAGTTATCCAAGAAACAACAGAAAGATATCAGGTAAAAGCACAACTTATAGCCTCAAACTGTTCTATGCCAGTAACTTGTACTCATTGTAATGACAGTACTCCTTTTACAAGAAACACTAATTGGAATTGAAGTTTCATTACCTATTCTGATATTCTCTCTCCTCTGCACAAAACTCAACCACACAATTTCATATTTCTTAATAACTGTGTCCGATCAGTCGTGGAACCTTATTTCGGGATGGAGGAAGTATCCAACTAATTAGAAAAATAACTGTGGTGAAATATTATACTTTTGAAACCTTTTGGATCATTTTGTAAGTAGTTTTGAGTCAATGGAAGACGGCGTGCATACACGGTGTTCTCTTCTCTGCCCTTGCCCCTGCACGGTAGGATGTGTTCGGGGCATTGGGTATGGCTTTTTTTCCTTCTTATGATGCTTGCAACACGATGGCCATCTAGCATAAAACTTTGCTAGTTGCTACAATGCTTTTGCATGAATTTAAAGCTAAAACTAGTTTTATACAATTCATTGGCCTTGTAAGTTTAATGTCACCTACCCCAACTAGTTGGGATGATGATGACGATATGTGAAAATACCCCGAGGCCTCAAATCCTCATGTATGGTCCTGCAAGTATCATATCCTTTATGTACTTGTTTTGTGTTTTTGACATGCATGTTTGTTTGCTTACCATAAACTGCACTAATGTTAGTTTCTTGAAGTTTCAGATCAAACAAATTGTGGTTTGAACCGAACATGTGCAGATCTTGAATTCATCAGAGGAGACTCGAGGCTAAGCAGGCAAAACAGGGTAAACGAACTTCTGCCCCTTGATCTTTTTCATTGACGTGTCTTAAAGCAAAACATTTTTTTTAAACTATGGTATCTTATGAACCTATATTCCACAATATCTCTTGGATGAAGTATTAGTCTCTATTGGGAACTCTGAGGAGCATCGCCCTTCCACCTGCAAAACTAAACCCTGTAATTGTTTACATACTGAGGCACAACAGGTGGCCTTGACACTGCAACGTTGTGTCTTGAACACCTTTATTTTCGAACTATTAGAGGAATCATTCCAACCCACCGCAAATTGTGTTATGTTTTTGTAGATGTTTTCAGTTTTGAAATACTAAAATTTTATCTGAAACTTATTTTAGGAGTCATCAAAGAAGCAAGCCTTACTTCGTCCTTTTTGCCATAGTAGTAGCTCAACAGTGTGATTATCAAAACATGTAAGAACGTTCCGCGAATTGGAGTGACACTGGGAATATCCATAGAGACCAAAGTGATGGGAGATTTTCAGAATACATGTGTAAAAGAGCACCAAGATAAGCAAAAAGATGGCTTGCTCGTGATTCTGAGGAGAACTTCATCAACCTTATTCTTGTTTTTGCTGTCAATGTTGCCGTTGGTGGTGGCAGAATGATGCTTATCAGCAGCCATGGTGGCAACCAAGGCAAAGAGGGTTGGGAGAAAGTTTATTGAAACCGTTTAAGATTGTTTATTAAAAGTCTGAAATTACAACGAATCAAAGAATGTGAGTATAAATTCGGAGTATAAATAAAGTTACCAAATGTCCGTAATATCAATTTTAGTAAAATTATTTTCTTTTGGATGGTACAAAGTTAGACGTTGGAAGGATTTGTAAAGACTTGGAAATATCTGAAATAATTATCAAAACATTGTTGTCCGATACCCTATATTTTGCAATAAGAACTCCCAGGTCCCATGTTTTTTAAAAATATACTCAAAGGCCTTTAAAATATCAGTTTACTCACTCGTGGGAGACAATTTTTGGGAAATTAAGGTGTCTCCATGGGTGAGTAAACTGATATTTTAAAGGCCTTAAAGTATATTTTTAAAAAACATGAGACCTAAGAGTTCTTATTGTAAAATATAGGGCACCTAATCACAATTTTTTGAAATAATTATACTCTCTCCTATCCGCCCTATTTAATCTTCTCCTTTGACTTTTACGTTTTTCAATTCAATACTTTGATATTAATTGATGTTTTTTAATTTAACAATAATTGATATTTTCAATCACACAATTTTAACTCCATTTTCATTTTAATGTTTTTCATCATTTTGTTAAAATCCTTTTCTTTCAATTATGTTTTACATCATTTTCAATCACATAATTGATGTTTTTTAATTTAATTGGATGTCACCAATCCTTGTCTCGCAAATAACAAGATAAATGGAGCAATATTTTTCATTAATATTAATAGAATTTAGCACATATAAGATATGTAAATTTTATTGATTTTAATTCCTAATGAAATTATGTGAGAATGAATTACTCCCTCCATCCCAATTTTGATTACAATTTTTTTCTCTCCTCTCGATAACTTTTATTTATTTGTGTATTTTTATTGAGTATTTCATAAAAATAGCATTTTTGTCACATCTCATTTTGTAGATTTCTTGACGTAGTTTTTAATATGAATTTTTTTATTTCTTATTTATGTACTAATTTGTAAATAAAATGAATTCAAAAGACGAAAGATTTTCTCGCAACTCCCAATTTGTAATCAAATTAGGGACGGAGGGAGTATAATTTTGAGTAAATACCATAATTGGTCTTTTAAAACTGATTAATTTTCCGTAATAGTCTAATATTTTATTAAATATTTTATTCGTGCTCCTTTGTCTATTGTACCTTTTCACAGGTTATCTTTGTTTGACCTTCTGTCGTATTCATGTTAAATTAAGAGTTAAGATCTAAACATGTATTATTCAATGTCGATTTGACAGACAACACAACAATAATAACTACTGACTTGCATTTCGACAAGCTATGATACTTGTGGATTATATGGTTGCGGTGTAGTATTTAATATTAGATCAATAAATATAGGAAACCTCCAATTTTAAAGAGCCATTTATAGAATTATTCTCCATTTTTTAAATATAATTTATTGTAAAAGTGTGACGCAAAAGGTCATATTAGACGACTGCTATAGATCAAGAGTAGTATAAAATACTCCCTATGATGGTTAGATGAATGAAAATTTATTGAACTAAAAAATTAGGTTCGGTTTAGTATTTTTTATATGAGTAACTCTATACATGGTTTTTTTTTTTTTTGAAATTGAGGTCCATCTATATTTAGTTCTCTATTATCATCATATATATTACATTCGTGATGATTTCATGTAGATCTTTTCCATTTTGTAAAAAGTTCAACTCTTTCATGTTGGCCCACTTGGCATCAACGTTATCGTTTTGAAAAAATTATCTGACTGTAGCCTTAAAAATTTAGACTATTAAATTTTTATCCAAAATGCAAACGCTAATTGAAAATGTTATTCTCAAACAAAATCATTATTTATGTGTTCTAAAGTCTGAATTTTAAAACTACATAAAAATTTGCCGTTTTCCAAAGTCGGTAAGAATTTAATTAAAATAGTTTTGTGGGAGGGAAGGACAAAGGGAATTTTTTGGGGATAGAGAAATAGAGAAAATAAGAACTCGATCCTGGTTTATTTGGAGATCTAAAAATAGTAATAATCTACTCTTTCTTTCAATTCTTTTCTTCTGCTTGCCCTTTCTCTCCACTTTCTTTTGGTAGATAATCCGCGCGGAAAGCTAGCAAGCTCCATCTGCCCTCAAAGGTTGGTTAATTAGTTTAATTAATTAGAATTCTTTTTTCTTCAATCCCATGTTTTCTAGCTATAATAATAAAAATGTTCTTTCTTTTTTAAATAATTAAAATTACTCCGATCCAGGAATTAATAAAACTAGGTGGAGTGTAGAGAGGGATCAGATCAGATCGAAATGGCACAACTGCTTCTCCATGGAACGCTTCATGTCTCTGTGTACGAGGTTGACAGGCTCAAGTCCGATCTCCTCCACAACTTTTTTCACAAGGTACTTACGCACACTACTCTTTTTCTTCTTTAATTAGTTATAAACTTTTTTTTTAGATGATATTGTCATTTACTTATACATAGGTCATTGATTGCATACTTTAAATCATTCTTCATATTTTTTTTTAACTAAATACGCCAAGTGGCAGGAGAACAACTTCATATTCTAAAAACTAATTAATTTCTGTATAGTTTTAGTTTTCTTTGAATTGGCAATAATTTCAGTCTTTAACTTCCAAAAATTGCAAAGTCACACTAACAAAAATGACACGGATTCGTGCATCAACGATGTTCTGTTTGTAAAATCGGTGATTCCTTAAAAATCTCCAAGAATTTCACTTCATTTCGCTCCAGCCTCCCTTGGATTTCCGATTTGCCAGCTGCGAAATCGGTAATCCAGAGGGGCAGGTAGTGGGCTGGGGTGGGGTGGAATTGCTATGGGGAAGTTAGGGCGGGGTAGAAACTAATGCGTATTAATTTTGTGAATCGAAGCACCATGAATGCACCAAAATCACTAGTGTCACGATGTTACAAGTGGTATGCATGTTACAAGTGTAACATTAGAGACGTACTCTCTTCAACTTAAGTATGTAAATGCTATCTAATGAGTTAAAGACAGATATTTAGCTTATTATTTTCAAAATAAATGTATACACGCAAATTGAAAAACTTATTGCTTATAAACAATGTCTTCAATTCTTTCCCTCATTTGTTCACCATTGAACAAAGCAGGCCAATTCATAAATTTTTCCCGACAATAAATACACATTGTCTTTACTACTACGTATGTGTTCATCTTTTTTCCGTGTGTGTTTTTTTAAATTCTACGTATGTGTTTTTTGTACCGCAAATGCATGTCGGCAGTTGATTTTTATTAGTCAAAATAACATTATACTCCCTCCGTCCCCCTGTATTTGTCCACTTTCATTTTTACACACTATCTATTGCACTTCTTTAATCCATTTTATCTTGTAATTTGTATATTAAAAAATTATAGAAATTATATATTAATAATCTATATGTTAAGACAAATCAAACAAGATCACACATGACTATATTTAGACTTACACATTGATAGAATTTGATGAGTCAAAGTGCTTAGATGAACATTTCCAAAAGTCAAATGTGGACAAATCCAGGGGACGGAGGGAGTAGAACAATTAAAAACGAACCTCCAAAAAAGATAGGACAATTAATGATATTACTCTCCCGATTCTTCAAATAAATTTTTAGATATATTTTCTGTAGCGTGTTAATTTTTTTTCATTTTTTTCGTTGGGTTATTCTAAAATAAATTTTTCATTCCTTAAAAGAAATGAAATAAGTGCATATTTGGTGTGTTTGGTTGGGAGGAAAATATTTTCCCAAAAAAATTTTGATTCTATTTTTGTGTGATTGGTGACATTAGTAGAAAGAAAATATTTTTCAAGGGAAAATATTTTCATTCAATGGGGGAAACAATTTTCATTAAAAAAACCTCTTTTCACTTTTAAATTTAAGAAGGAAAATTTTCATTCTCTTTCCGCTTCATCCCCCAAACCTCTATCCACCCCATATACCTCTTTTCACTTTTCGGTTTTAATTTTAAAATTAAAATTTAAACTTTAAAATTTAAAATTTAAAATTTAAATTTAAATTTAAATTTAAATTTAAAATTTAAAATTTAAAATTTAAAATAAAAATTATAAAATTAAAAATAAATAAATAAAATTTTAAAATTAAAAATTAAAAATATAAAATTTTAAATTTCAAATTTTAAAATATAAATTTTGAACTTTAAATTTTACATTTTACATTTTACATTTTACATTTTAAATTTTCGGTCAAAATTATATTTTTTTCTTGAAAATTTTTCATTCATTTGCTAAAATAAATTGCAAGAAACTCATTATTTTGTTGAATTTTTTATATAACTTTTTTCCAAATTTATAAATTTTACTCCTTAGTTTATAACTTAGATCAGTTTTTAATTAAATCAAATTGACAGCAATTTCATTTTAACATCCTATATAAATTAAAGTGATGTTTAATGTGTCACAAAAATTTTATGAATTGGTAATAACTTCAGTCAAACATCTTGACCTCTAAAATTTTAAATATATTTTTCTGTAATTTATTATCAACGTTTAAAAATATTTGTCAAAGTCAAAAGTAGAAGAAAGTAGTACTAAAAAAGTCTAACATTATTAACCCACATAGCGAACAAAGACGAGAATTGGTAAGCTGGAATTGTCACGCATAATACTTCCTTGATCTGTATTTTAAGTTAAATTGTGACACACTTTGACTACAAGTTAAATATAATTTTAAATAATTAAAT